TAGTTGGTCTTTGAAATCTTCATCAGAAAGAACATGGTTGGCTAAGTTTTCACCAAAGATATGGCAATATTGAATTTGACAAAGTTGATGCATATAATATCCTTATGTGGCATAATTTCTAAGTCCTTGGAAAGATCAATAAAGCATTGGCAATGGTATGAAGATCTAATCATATAACCACCAAGACAAGGTGAATGTAGATTTGTTGAAATAATTGCAAGGGATCTTCTATGTGGCAAAAGACTTAGTAGTAGAGAAAGGCTCTCTTGGATTAGAATAAGTAGATGTAAAACATACAAAATGAGGAAGTAGAACATTAAGCAAAAAAATCCACTTTCAATTAAGTTAAGAACAAAGAGTGAGTAGATTGTGGAAATGGTATGGTTGATAGTGACGTTGGTAGTACAATATATAGAACTAATAAAGATATTAGTTGTAGAAGCAATGAAGTGACTATTTCAAAAAAAAGAAGTATATGTAGTAATATAAAAGGGGCATTTGTAATTAATTCAAAGATAGTCCAGCCACTCTTATGAAAGAATAATGAATCTAATTGAATGTCACTATTAATATGGCTTGTTGGAAGAGACATAAGAAAATCAAAGGTAAAAAGTTCTTCCTAAAATACTATCTTATGAAATATCACCACGGCTATAGTGCTTAGATTTTAGAATTTGTATTGTTTTTTCATCAAATTATAGCTAAGTAGGATGTATTTGCCTTGTCTACAAATTATAAATAAATAGTCATTATTAAGATTTACTTTATGTTTATGAGGTGAAAATGGTTCAAAATTTATTAACTATTATTTTTTGTATGCAAAGTGATGAATAGCTTATATGTTAATGAATCAATGTTTTTTTTTCTTTCATGTGGTTTAAGAGCTTCCTTGAATCAAAATGCTTGTGTAAGGTACACTTGTGCATAAAATGAGGGAGAAAGTTCTTCTACATTATCTAACCAATGAAGGTTTTTTGTTTTATTTTTTAAATATTTGTAGTCTATGGTAGATTATTTTGAAGTTTTTCCTATTTGCCAATTATTTTGTATCTTTGCATCTTACAAAGAGAGCTTAGAATTTTAAAGATGAGCCTTTTATATTGTCTCCTATAGAATAAAGATTGCAATTAGCTTTTGAAGTGTTTCAATTCCTACTACGGACAATGTTTAAATTTTTATGCTATATTATGATTGTATGAACCTCATAAGGATGAAGGTTTCTATTTGTTATAGAATGATCACTCCTACAAAGTGACATTGTTGGATTAAGATCATAAAATTCTATGAATATTATGTCATATATATATATATATATATATATACATATATATTTATTTAGTATAATAAATTTTTCTTATAAGTATTTTGAGTGATAATATATCTAAAAAACTATGTCCTCTTTAGTGTCAACCATGCTTTGTTAGTTGTTTTGCATGCTCATACATGTGAGAAGATTGAATTATTAGCTAAATCTCAAATAGTTGCAAGGGCAACATAATCCTTCTTTTTCTAAGTAGAAGTTGCAGTTTTATTAATTGATGGTAATTATGTAGGTGCATTTACTTTTATAATAAATATTGATTCTTTTTCTATGCCAAAAACTAACTCCCATATTTTTTAACTCAAATTTTATTTGAATCTTTTATTTTCAAATGTTTTATCAAACGGCATCAAATTTTGGCCATTTTTTAATGGTAAAGCTATTTATAGCTATGTTCGTGAAGAAAGACGTCTATTAAGTGTCCTAATTTCTATGCAAAATGTCTTTAGTATGGCCTCTTCTTTGTGAGCTTGTTATTATTATTTTTTTAGAACTTGCTTTAGAAAGTTTTCAAAACTATGCTCTGATATCATATTGAAAGATTAAAATTATTGTTATGATAAATAATTTTATATTTAGTAATATTTGCTTTTGTTACATTATATTTTATAATGTGATTTATACTTTCAAGGACGGTACAACTAAAAGGATTGCAATTCCTTGACAAGTTATAATTTTTTGTTCCAATGACCACAAATTGACTATTTTTTATTAAGTGTTATTTTTTCATACTCAAAAGTAAAGTATCTATTGCCGCAACTCAAATTCCTCCCACTCACTCTAGATTTCTAGTTTTGATAATCATATCTAGGCCGAGTCATATCTTGCCATGCTTTAGGATGGCACCAAGCTCCACTACTGTTCCTTTTAATGCTTTTCATGGATATAGAACCCAAGCATAAAGTAGATAGATGAGAGAATTAGATATACACTCTTTCCTCCTTTTCTTTCTTTAGAATTTAGGCTTTTTTTTTTTTCTTTTTTTTTTTTTACTTCCACCTACTATTCCAATATTAATACTATTGCATTCGAATTATGTATACTTATTAGGTAGGACTCAACTTTTGGTAGTTTTTTCTCTTCTATGGATTTTTTTTTTTTATGTTTTTTTTTCTTCAAAACTAGTTGTTTATTTTGTACCATTATTAACTAGGCTAGTTTGAATTTTTATCAACTATACAAGATTAAAAATTTTATGGTTAGAATTTGAAGTATTAATATCTAAATGTTAATGGATTATTTTTGATAGTTTATTGTCATTGTATTTTGAAGGTGTATTGATTTTTATGTTGTAGATCAAAGGTTTTTTTTTTTTTTTTTTTTTTTTTTTTTTGTACATATCATGGAAGAAATGTTACTTTGAGGATATATTCATTGTCAACATTGTTATTGATAATTTTATTTTTTTATTGAAGTTGAATGGTTGTTTAGGTTTTTAAAATTATTTATTTTTTAGAAAGATTTTTGTGACTTAATTATTAGGTTTTAAAAAGTAAAATATGTTAAATATAAAAAATAATCATAGTAGCAATATAAAACATTTGTTGCATAAGAGTACAAACAATGATAGAATATCTATACTTTGTAGATATAAATAAATTATTTAATTATCTTAATAAAAAAATTATCATATATTTTAAATACTATTTTAAATTTTAATGAAAAAAATATAATTTTGTCATAAAATTATAAATAAAATTCTAAAAAATATATACATATATAAGAACACATAAAACAAATCTTAGGATTTTAATAAAAATCCTTAAAATCAAAATACATAGATTTATAATTAAATATTTTAAAATGAACATGTGTTCATATGAAGCCATAAAAGTATTTTAAGGTTTTAATAACTATTCTTAAAATAAAACTATATAAATTATAATGATATTATTTAGAAAAATAAATATTTAAAAAATATTAAAATATAAAATAATTGTGCATATAAAAAAATTAAAATTAAGAGTATTTTTAAAATATTGTTGCAATTACTGGTTTGTATCACATGTTTTTATAAATAATAATTTTGAGCATAATAATTTTAACAACTCTGAAAAGAAGTAGAAAAAATTCTTATATTTTCTCATGTCATATATATTTATATAACATATACAAAATAAATGATAATAAAAAAATGACAAGATTAAGTTGATATTCATATTTATTATGATATAAATAATATCCTTAAATTGTGAAAAAAAAACTCAATTATCTTATATCTCTTTTGACCTTATTATTGAAAAACCTGTATAGTAATCCTACAAACTTTATTATACTAATATCACAAGTATTAGACCTTTTAAAACTACATCATTTAATATTTTAAAAATCAATAGTAATTTAGCATATTTATAAGTTCTTCCATTACTATACCGATTTTTTTTTTTTTTTAATTTGGTTCTTGAATTATTTTTTTGTTAAGTATGTATACTACATTTTTATAATTTTTTGCATTAAAAGTACAAGACACAATTTTTTTTTCTTATCCACATTCAGCAGAATCACAATTTAAATTACTTATACCTGTTGACTATTTAATAAATCAATGATTACTCAAGATTCATTGTTTTTGTTTTTGTTTTGTTTTGTTTGTTTGTTTGTTTGTTTTGTTTTTTTTTTTTTTTTTTTTTTTTTTTTTTTTTTGCAAAAAGTTAAAAATTGTTCCGTAAAAAGTTTAATGAGTTACGAACGCAACAAAGTCAGAGACCGATGCGATGAGATGCGATGTAACGCGATTTGACGCGAGAGAGCAGATGATTGCGGAGTGAGGGGGAGCCCATGTGGGGTCACGTCCAACCGAAATGCTTTTCTCGTCCAGCCCCACTTGCTGTGCCCCGAGAGCAGATAAACCATGGATCCATCCAGACAAAGCCACTCGAGGTTCAAGTCAACGTCACCACTATTACGGGACTATTGTCGCTTAAAACAGTCGTCTCCAGCTTCTTCGTCCCGGGTGCTTGTTCGTAGCTCCAGCCCGTCATTGCCCATTTGCAGGATCGGAAAGCACCTCGATGGCACACACAGTGCGCCTGTCCCGGTGGGCCTTCACAGCTTTCCAGAAGATTCGATTTCAAAGTTGAAAAGAAGGGTTGGTAATTTGTTTCGTCTGCTTGTCTCTTGCACGCAAATGTAGTCCAACATGGCAATGTTGATATTTGATTTGTTCATGACGTGGTACAATGCTTTCTCTTTTGGATTGCTTGTAGGGAGCCCTTACCTTGCACCCAGTCGGGGTAACACTTGCCCGACGTCCAGGATAAGAACCATCCTTGAGTAAATTGGCTTAAAGGTCACATCGCTCATAAATATAAATATTTACAGAAGTAAATAAAAGCCTGAAAAACGCATGACTTTTTGAAGTCTCAGGTTCACCAGATGGTCCTCATCCGACTATTGAAAATTCATTGTTCGTACTTTCCTAGCGACCTGGATGTAAATAGGTAGCCAGGTCAAGTGGAGTTAAGTACAAATAGAGAATGACAGGCCATTAAATCGAACGCAGCGAATGGCACGAGGGACGTTTATGGATCCTCGTGATGTGACTTAATGGGTAAAGTACTAAAATATTGCTCAATTTATGAATCTCTGTCGTATAGTATAATGTCTTATCTACTGCAAGTCGTTGTACGTATTTTCCAGGTACTGGGGCTGTACACAAAACAGCTTCTGGACTTAAGCCTCGATCGCTGTGCTTAACTGAATCAATTTCAACGCCATCGCTGAGCTCTGTAACTTAGCACAAGTTTTGGGGGATGTAATAAGCGGAAGTTGATTCCTGAAACTTCACATGTGTTTGTTTAGAGACTGTGCTTCAGTGTTCCTGGAGGACGCACGGTGGCTGCTAAGGCAGAAAGAAATCTCTCATCTTTAGAGTTTAAAGGTGTGTAAGTTTTCTGTCGTACCATCCAAGCTACACAGATCCACGTTGTCGACATGATAACAGAAGCTTGCACCGGTACAGCAAACGAGAGGAATTATGATGTATTGAGCTTGTCTTGGCAAACGGGCTAACTTGGGCTGCTATCGTGGGGGCCGACTAACTTCTAGCAGTGTTCAAGAAACAATGACTTTGCTGCCAGAGACGCACAACCCGCTTGGTTACTGATCTCTAGGTATGTCGTCTCAGCCTATGTGATTCACCCTAGATTGGTGTGCACTTAGAGCAGAATGTCTTTCAGTTTCGGAATGATGTTTCAGAGCGTTAAAGAAGAATCCGAGGGCACATCTGTCGGCAGACTTGGTAAGCGCTGCTCAACAGTGTTGCTTTAATGTCAATGAATTGAAATTAAAAGATAATGGAAGAATCGAAGTACAGTTAACTGATGCTGAAACGAAATGGTTCTCCCTTATGAGAAGAAGATTGAACCCAGCTTGAGCTTCAAGCGTACTGTTAAATGTGTATGTGCTAACGAGACGTCACATGCTAAAACTGTTGAGTGGTTTGTCTGGACATGTATCAAGCCTATTCTACAGGGAGGATCTGGAAAAATTTCTCCTTGGAGCATAACCTATTTTCCTTGCTAAATATCCTTGAAGTGCTGCTTGTTTGATACAGATTGGAGATCACTCAACAATGACTGATGAGAATGAATTCACAGTTTGATGGGAACCGTGCAGGTAAATTAACCCATCGCGTGTAAACAACCTAAATATAGGATGTGATAATATTTCTTATTAGATTACTTGTTGAAGTAGTGATTATATGATGTGATATGCATTTCAATCTGCAAGTACAGTTCGCAAAGAATACACTCTTCAAACACGACACCCTGCTCATGCACGATTCAGTTATTACATGCTTGTTCCAACATCTGATATCTCATGCTGATTACTGACTCATACTTCACAGTTCTATTAACTGAAGCATACAGCATAAGCCTTCTAAACTTCTTGTGTATACAGTTACACAAGGTGCGATAACTAAGCTTTTTATTTAGCTAGTTGCTTGAAAAAGGAAGAACACCTTCCTCGTGCAGTGGTTTCAAAAATGTGCGCAAGGGATTCTCAAGTTGTTAGCAGAGTTCCTCTTCAGAAAATACATGCCATACATATAATTTTCCTGCATCGTCCACATTCCTGCATAATTGCTAAAACTCATCCCCACAGGAATCATGTGGGTGTATCAAGACATGACTCTTGTTCCATTCTCTTCCCCAAGCAGGACGGTTGAGGAAATTCTGTTGTGGAGAACAATTCCCTTACCCCCAAACTTTAGAGCACCGTCTACTAAGTTAAATATGGAGCTCTAAACCAGTTGTTGAATTTAAAGTTGTGGCCTTGTGTTCCCAATTTTCCTCCATGCTAGTACTTACTAAAAATTGCTCCTCGGCCGAAGTTCTCGGGATACAACAAACTATGAGAAGATGTCTGTGATATCTGTTTTCCTAAGTCCATGCATGATACTAAATTGTGATAACATGGTCTGTAGTTAATGCATGCATGATATGTTCCAGGTTCCTTCTAGATTTAGACCATATACACGCAGAGTATCAGTAAGCATGGAACCTCTGTTGTGGTCAGTCACAATATACATTTTTTTTGTCTAGTTAAACCAGATATGAGAGTGGAAACCGCAGAAGTGGCAAAAAAATCTTTGAGTAGTTGCAACGGGAAATGTAACCTATGTCAAGCATCTGTAATTGTGAACCAGCTGCAGATTTTGGATGGAGCAAAAGGGCTTGCACGACAAACAAAAAGCATTGGATTGACGTTTTTGACGAATGTAGACAAGCGGGCCACGATTTTAGCGATGGTTCAGTTGCTCAAAGAAAATGGTATCAGACCTTCAAGAACTATAATATGGGTAGAGATGGAGGCGAAGTAATGCCACTGTCTCTTCGTGATGAATCCAGCTTCTGCATTCAGGTGAGGTGTACCAATGCGACACTGCTGATTCTGGTATGCAAACATTTACAATTAGGAATTCACTATCGTCATGCATAAATTTGATTTACAGGCTAGGAAATTCACATTGTGTGCAATGTCACGGCTTGAAATAACGCAGCACCAAGAGTCAATCTTTGAACTTGAATTGAACATTTGTGCATGTCGGGCTAAATTGGAGAAACTTGCAAACTTGTACTTCAGTGGCCTCATCAAAGAGAACTAGACGTTGCTGAAACGAATCCCCATTCGGAGCCTCCAACTGTTCTTCAAAGTGTTCCTCAGTCTTCCTTGCAAAGGTGGTGATTAGACGTGTTAATAAGCTTTTTCTTCTTGCTTTGTAGAGGGGACTTAGGTCTCCTACATCATGAATCAGGAGTATTGATCATCGCTTACCAGCAGCAAAAACTTTGGCTCGTCACTGAGGAGCGCCGTTGAGGCTTTCTATTAATTCCAGCCTTTGATGAATTTGTTTGTTCGAGATCACAGTAGGTAATGGCTCAGCTACTTTCGCAAGTAGATAGGTCTTACATATTTTACAGTTTCTGTAAAATAAGCTCTTTTTATTTGAAAAATAATATATATGTGATAGTAAAGGTTAGTATAGGATGTCCCTGCTATAAGTGTTGGAAACGATGTTGGTGCTTGTTTTGTCTCTACTGACCTCTCTTTTCAGGGCTGTCGTCAATTTGATCCTCTAGACATTATAGTTCAAGGCCCCTATCAACTTGTTCTAGTCTCCTACCTCACAATTTGAAGACTTGCTATTCTCAACCATCGTGACAGATCTCTTCCGATCTACTTTGATGTCGTCTCAGATTTCTTCTAGTGTGCGAGGGAGCAATGCTCACATAGGTTTAACTATACCTCAACTAGGCCCTCATACCATGACGAAAAACAGAGTTTGGTACACTAGGGTGAGCAAAGTTCAACTACTATCATACGAGTATAATACCTTGTATAGTATATTATACAAGTTATAGTCTTAATCCTAAACTAACCATCCTGAATGACTTGCCTAATAGGTGAAATGATGAAGGATAAGTACAGTAGGCAAAGTAATATTGAGCATTAAGGTGAAGTCACCTCTAATTAGGTGCTTGAGAGTTTTATCAACAGACTTAACAACTCTCGTTTATTATTGGTTTTTTTTCAATTCAAACATCACATTGACTTTTCTTGAGGCAGAGTTAGAGAAGCACCGAAGCAGAGTTAGAGAATCATGTCTTTGACTATGCTCTTCTCAAGCTTCCATGAGTGTCCAGTGAGGAGTTTGGAGGTTCAGCTAAGTTTTGCAAATGACTGGGTCATACCTGATTTAAATAGTTTCCAACACAACATGAAAATGGTGCGTCTTCATCAAACCTGAACCATTGCACTGAAATCGTGCTGATGCCTGTAGCTCTTGCATTTGAAGGATTGTGTTCACTACCGCCGGTTTGGTCCGCGAATACCGTAAGACACTGCCGTACTTTCTAGCCCAACGCTTCTCATGATTATCAGTCTCAGCCAGAGTTATTGATTATTCGAAAAAACCTCGGTTTCCGAGTTCTTTCTCGTCAACAACCGGATCAACACGGTCTCTTAATATCATGATTGCACGAAACAAGCAGTTCGACTTTACAACTTAGAAACTCAGCAATTGTCAAATAGGGGTCGGAAAATGACTTGAAAATCTCGAAATTCATGGATTTTAATGACGAGGTGCCGTGAATCATATTTTTGACATAGGCCGCGACGTAATCTGTGAGAATATGATTTGATCACACATGCTGAATGAGCCTATTGGATTTCATCCAGTTGTTGGAGTGATTGGGTGAATTGAAGAAATTTTCGAAGAGGCTAGATCTAAACTTTGAATATGGTATCCCATCTGGGTAATTTATTTAGTAACTAGTGTGTTACTAGTAAGAAATAAGAACTTTTCATTGATATTTAAGATTTTACTTGTAATAAAGTGTCATTGTTTTCCTGATATTCTTGGTGTGGTATTCTGTGAAACAAAATAGGTTAAGGGTCCACGCTTCATCGTTCTGTGCATTTTATTGAGTGCTAGGTTTTGATTGATTCAGCGGTTTACGACCGATTTAGTTGTTTTTCGACTCAACTTTTTGTTTCCGACCAATTGATTGCCTTAGAAATATTGAGCGATTGAGCAACTGCTCCAGTATATTTTTCAAGTTTTTCATTTGTAGAGCTTAGAAAATTCACAGTGCTTATTTTTCCACGCAAAATTCTTATTCTCTCGAATATTTTCTTGAACTTCTTGACTCTCATGCATTACATTTTTCTAGTTCTTACTCATTTTCTGTTTTGACTTGTTTTCACTTCTCTCTCTGATTTTCTCACTTTACAAGAGTTAGTTTCTTACAATTTGATCATATGTTGCAATTTGATCACAATGTCCACCAATAAAGACCTTATTGGAATTCAGCATTTCAATGGTTCTGAATTTCACATATGGAAGTGGCAGATCAAGAATCTTTTCCAAGCAAAAGGGTATATTATTCATACTGATGACCGAGGGCAAAAGAATACAGATTGTGTGCAATGGATAGAGGCGGATTATAACGCTTATACTCTATTAATTTCATCCATTGAGCAATTGTTTCTTGTGCCTCTAACTCAATGCAAAACTATGCAATAAGTCTGGGATAGATTATTAGAGGAGCATGAATTTAACAACAGTGCCAATATTTATGAACTTAAGCGACAGTTCTTTGATGCAAGAATTCAACATGATCAATCCATTTTTAGTTTCATGATTCATCTAGAATTTATTATGAACAAAATTGGAGGATTTGGGTGATACTAAATTTACAAATTTTTGCATGATATCTAAAATCACTTCAAACCTCCCTACTAGAGTGCTAAAATCTTAAGATTCTACAAATGAAGCTTGTGTATTTTATATTCATTTGTAAGATCTTAAGATTTTAACACTTCTCAGATTTCAAAAGCTCTTTATATAGAATCAAAAAATTATCATTCAAATGATTTATATCAAGAGTAATGTTATGAACTAGATCAAAGTAGATTTAATAAAAATTTTGATATTACTTGAGCTTATAATGCACTAGCATCTCGAGGAATTACATAAGGATGGATAGCTGATATGGCACAATAGAACATATGATTGACAAGTTTCATTGATTCATCAATTATAAATATGTACTAGCAAATGTAATATGGCCTATTGAAACATCTGTTGGATATAAATGTTATGTGATGGAAATAGGTGAGATCAAGATTTTAGTTCAATAATCTTATTCAATAGAAATCTATTTTCTACAATAAGTTCTCTATATTCTAAGCTTTAGAAGAAATATTTTTAGGCTAATAAAGATTGCAAGATAGCATAAAATATTTACTCTTTGCAAAGATTCAACACGTGAGCTTATTCAAAATAATACTATTATAATGACAGAAAGAACACTTCAAGGATCTTATATTTTAAATTATTTAGTTCTTCTTCTTCTTCCAACAATTGTTTCTTATGTAGTTTTTTATGATAATATTTCATGTTCAAAAGAACTACAAAATATTCAAATAGAGTATCTTTATCTTAACTACTTATATTATGATATGATAAGAAAGATGGCTATTAATATTTTAATAACTAATATTATACTTAAATCTATTGAATATCCATAGTTATATTTTGAATGTACTTTTGGCAAGTCACAAAAAAAAAAATCTTAAAAGTTTAAATTATATTTGAGCTTCATTACTTTGCATGCTTATTCATAGTAATATATGTGATCTCATAAGTATGCCATCTCATAGAAGACCATTATTTTATATTTTATTTTAAGATGATTATATACAATATTGATTTATTTTCTATACTTTTTAAAAATCATAGGCTTTTATATGTTTTCAAAAGGTTTTCAAAACCATATTTAGAGACATCAGTTATAAGGTACTTACTTTACAAATAGACAATTGAAAAAGATTTTATAATCAACATTTTAAAGATTTTTTACATAGAAAAGGCATAAAATCTGAATTAATTGTTCTATATATTCTAGAGCAAAATGAAATTTCATAAAGAGACAATTGTACAATTATGGAGGCTATTAGAAGTATAATTTATTATATTCATCTTGATCCACTATTTTAGGTATATGCTATTGACAATATAGTTTACTGTCAAGAACATGAATCTTGAAGAAAGAAAATCCTCAATATACTCTTATATTATTGAAAAGAATTAGAAAGTCACTTAAAGATGTTATAATATTCAACTAGAATGGCTATTGCCAAAAATAAGAAGAATAAAAAGTCTTGAAATAAGACTAAAGACTAGAAAGGCATTGATAAGAGTAAAGAAAGCTTCACTCTTGCCTCCATATATATTCTCTAACTAATAGCTACATGGCAATATTCTATAGGATATCCAACATGTGTTGACTTTGTCAGCTACATGTCTTAACTTGCAAGACAACTTATTTATGTATGTACCTGTTAGGAACATATTCCTTAGAACTTTCTAGAGAGAAGTTTCTAGAACCTTCTAAAAAACAAGCCTCTGGAACCTTCTAGAAGAGAAGCCTCTGGAACCTTTTAGAGAGAAGTTTCTAGAAACTTCTAGAAAGGAATCCCCTGGAACTTTCTAGAAGCTTCCTAGTTAATAGAAGTAGCTCGAGAAGTTTCTAGAACCTTCTAGAAAGGAAGCCTCTGGAACCTTCTAGAAGCTTCCTAGTTAATAGAAGTAGCTCGAGAAGCTTCCTAAGTAGGAGTATATATAGGGATCGAGGCTGAAGAGTTCTTCAGTTTCGACAACACATCTCTTGGAGTTCTAGCTCACCTTTCTGGTGTTGTTCTTGTACTCATCTGTTTAATCTAGTTTTGCCACTTCTTCTTGAACTTCTTGTTAGATTTCAAGTCTGTATTTTGTGTCCGTGACAGTTTGTCGAGACTACACTAACTTGAGATATCAGAGCTAGTTCTTTCTTAGTAGAGTGTGGATTACCCCTCTACTTGAAGGTATACTAGCATTTTTTAGAGGTTGCAGATTACCCTCCTCTAAACTGATACTTCTTCTGTTACAATATTGGAGTCTTATTCTTCTTGGAGAGAGTGGATTACCCCTCTTCTTGAAATTCTTAAGGCATTTTATAGGTTGTGGATTACCCTCCTATAAACCAATATTGCCTCTTATAGGGTCATTTTTGTCCTTCTTTTAGAATGGCCGGAGGTCAAGACATTAGTATGACAGAAAGTTCAGAGTCTAAGTTAGATGCTATTATGAATGCCCTCGCTACGTTATCACAAAGAACTGCAGAGATTGAAGGAGTGGTGGCAAGGCTTCATAATGATGGAGTATCTGGGATAGCACAATCTAAACTACACCAGCCTCAAATTTCGGCACTTGGAGAAACAACTTTACCTCAGGTTCAACAAGAACCACTAGTTCTACAACATAAGGAGCCTCGAGTTAGCCTTCTAGATAAGTTTGATGGAACACGTTCCAAGTTTCGAGGATTCGTTAATCAAATCAGGTTGATAACAGTTTTACAACCCGAATGATATCCAACGAAGGAGTCACGTGTTGGGCTTGTTGGAACCTTACTTACGGGACAAGCTCTATCATGGTTTGCTCCTTTGTTTGAGAAACGATCATCCATATTAAACAACTTCGAAACCTTTTTGAAAGCATTTGCGGAAGCATTTGGTGAACACGATAAGGTTCGATGGGCTACAACAAAGATCCGGTCGCTACGACAAGAGATGCGTTTTACATCTGTTTATGCTTCGGATTTCAGGCAATTAGTATGCGACATCAATTGGGATGAAGAAACGTTGATGAGTCAATTCTATTGGGGTTTAAGAGATGATGTGAAGGATTTGCTGTTAACTCTTCCTGATCCACGAACGCTCAATGAAGCCATTAGCCAAGCTGTGAACTGCGATAATCGCCTATTCCAACGTCGCCAAGACCAACGCTCAAGACAATATACAATTCGCCATGCTCCAACTATGTCGGCAAGCAGTGTGAATTCGCATTCAGGGGTGGAAGACATGCAAATTGATGCGGTACGTATCAAATCTCTTACTATAGAAGAAAAAAAGCGACGTATGGAGGAAAATTTATGCTTGTATTGCGGTGGGGAAGGCCACAAAGTCAGAAACTGCCCCAAAAAGCAAAATCGAGGCATAGTCAAGACTAGGGGAGTATTTGTTC